CTGTTCTTATGTAAGACGCGTCTTATCCAAGACGCGTCTTACATAAGAATTTTGTACCTTTTATACGACAAACTCGCGTCTTATTTAAGTCGCGTCTTATGTAAGTCGCGTCTTATTTTGTTCCGTATAAATGGCCATAATGTTACCCTTCGTTTCTAGTTATGAATAAAAAGAGCAAATGATATACTTTTCTAGATAATTGATGTACCATTGCGACTATCGGCACAGGAACTTCTTAATAATCCTTCACTGCCAGGTTTGTCAATATTCAAATGAAAACACGGCGGCAAAAATTAAACGGTCACTAAATAATGAATGTTTCATGAGGTGAAAGATGGAATGTTCCATTTAACGAGGCGACAGCCGAGTTGAATGGAACATTCCATCTTTCACCGAATGAAAATATTCTTACCATTGCACGAATAAAAACATTCATTATTTGTTTTATATAATACCAAAATAGACTAATAGATTCGTATGAGAAGCATTTTGACGGATGCAATTTATCGAAAATACAAAGAGTGCAATGGAATAAAACGTATAGTACAATTGCACTCGCAAAGAGTGCAATGGAACGTATTCCATTGCACTCTTGGGAAATGGAATTTTCTATTCAATATCACGTGACCATAAACAGTCAATTCAATATAAAGGTATTTTATAATATAGCATTTGTAAATTCTGAACGCTGATTGGCTAAGAGCCGTGTTGATATAATTCAATGTCAACACAGAAACGTTGGAAAATTTCTTTCTTTATGTTTCCGTTTGTGCTATATTATAAAACAAATAAAACAATTTTTCCGTGTTGATATACAGTTATATCAACACTCGTGGAAATTGGTGCGGGCGTCGCGTTTCCACACAATTTCTCGTTTTCCCACAATTTCTCGTTTTCCCAATTTTCACTCGTGTTGATATTTAACAATTATTCGCCGAAGGCGAGGTGATTATCGGAAAATATTCGCCGAGACGAAGTCGAGGTGAATATTCCCCGATAATCACCGAGCCTGAGGCGAATAATTGTTTTAGTATTTTTGTGTTTTTTGGGACTGGATTTATTTTAATTTCGCTTATTTCTTCATCAGTATAATTATGGCCACACAACGGCTAGCCGCCATTTTGAAAATTTCGGTTTTGTTATATTCACCTACAGGTGAATATAACAGCTTGTGTAATACGTCAAATTTGACCAATCAATTTGTAGGATTTGTTAATTGTTATGTTCACTTGTGCAAAAATACTTGAAAACTGTATATCAACACGGAAAATGTGTTATGTTTGTTAGCTATATACTATACTTATACTTATTTTGATTTATATTCCGTAGCACTTCGAAGTAGACCATTTATTGATATTTGGAGGCAAAATGCTGTCACAAGAATAATACCAGACGAAGAAGTGCCTGGTTTTTTCCACGATGCAGACGATTCTGGTTCAGACCAGCCGTTTGAGCGTGAGGTTTGAGCTTTACTGTACAGTACACGACGTCTTGCATTACTTTGCATTACGGAAGTTTCGGTCATTAATTCTAACACTTTTCCTGACACCTGTCTCAACCCTTTACCCGAACCCAACCACAACTTCCTCTAACCCTAATTTTTAATGAGGTTGAATTGCGGATGGAAGCAAAGCATTGCAGTGCAGGATAGATGATTCCAGCTTAGACTAAATTTTGATCTAGGCAAAAAGAACAATTCCATCACAACAGCTCGAAAGAGCATGTTAACATTAGTAATATCATGTTTGCGTGAATTTCTATTGTTCTATTGTGCTGTATTAGTAACTAATTCACTCGCCTACTCAAATGTACAGGTCGTATTAGAACTAATACGACCTCAGTTGACGTCACTACGGGTCGTATTAGTATTACCACATCACCTGGAAAGTTTGAGCAAAATTATCACAAAATTATGCACTGAAAAACACACAAACATTTAATTGTTATCATTACTTGCTAATATAATATCCGCCGACATCATTGACAGTGTCTGAACACTGATTTGGGTGAAATTCACGCAAAAATAATATTACAAAGTAATATCATGAAATGAGGAGTATTAGTCATTAAACCACCCGCTCGACGAGGGTCATTTATTAAAATTCCCGAGGGCTACGGCCCTACATTTCGCAACCAAACTTTGCAATTTTACTCATTTTAACCTGCTCTTTCTAGCTGTGGTGATGGATTTTGTTCTTCTTTAGATCACTGAGAATTTAGTCTATATAGCCGGATTCATCCATTAATTAAACACTACTTACACAAGGTTTCGACAAGAGGGAAGAATTATCAAACCTAAGAAATCTCCTGTCCTCGACCTAGCACACTTCACCCAGAGGTATAAGGACCATAGATATCTTATATCACTAGATAGTGCATCTAATTATTTTGCAATTCAAAAATTGAAGCCGTGATTGCAGACTCAGGATATTCCCATGAAATGAGAAGGCTCGTATGTTTTCTATTTCTTAAACAGGGAACTTAAACATTAAGTTAAACCTATTCCGAATACATTTTCAAGCTATTCAAATGATGAAAGTTATTGTTGTTTTTAAGCGTTTATTAGCGAGTGGCCGGGAAACTTCAACATGGCCGCCATCTATTCAAATGGGAGTAACCGCTGGAATATTCTTGGCTTCAATTTTACTAAAAGAGATGCGCTATCTAGTGTATAAAAGATATCATGATAAGGACCCATATATAACGGCTAAATATGCTATTTGTTTCACACAGGTACCTCTTGTTGACGGTCAACCAAACGAAAGCAGCGACTATGAACGGTCCCGTACATCGTCCATAGTGCCAGACGTGTTAGTTGACACACCAGGCTCCGCAAGTGAGTATACCATTTACCCATGCATACACGGGCAATCAGCTTAGTTTCAGTAAACTGATGAACTAGTGTGGTTAGCTTTTGGCATGGATTGTAAAATAACTGGATAGGAAACTTCTGACGTCATTGGCCTCATCCTTGTCACAGAGCAGAGACATATGTCTTATCTACTCTGTGTCCTTGTTGAAAAACGTGACGTCACGCGTATTGCGAATGTTACCAAAGTTCTCGGCATTTTTGTTGTTTTGCTATATTTTCCACTTTAAAAGGGTGATATTGAAGCATAAACTGGTCTGATTGTTTTAAAAACATGCCTAAGCCATGACAAAATGTTCAAGGTAAATGTTTTTCGTCTTTGTTTTGTATTTTTTTACATTTGTAGCTACGAAATTGGCGTCACAAATTTTAACGAAATTTGCGATGTATTTTTCACTGTTTAGTGCTTGAAATATTTGCTAAAATTGACTGGGAATACTTAGAGTTTTCATCGTAGAATGGCGTGGTTATATTTATTTGCTCTTTGACTAAAATGTTTAGCTGTATTATTGCTAAACATGCCGTTTTTGAGAATTTGGTTTTCAACTAGGTTGAGGCATCCAACCACGCCATCAGCCCATTAAAAACATTAGGCCACGTCAGCTAGTTTCCTATCCATTTATTTTATTATCCATGCTCTTGGCAATAGACGTTTTTACTGTTTATTGCACTTTTGCCCCGTTTTAATGTCTTAATGATTTCCCAATGTTTCGCGCACGAATATGTTTTCTTGTCTTTGATTTTTAATCAAATTTGAAATGAACATCATAACTGTCATTTATGGTCAATTTAAAACAGAATTCAAGATTCCATGGTTAGGGTTAGGGTTAGAGGTTACTTATAGTTCTTTTATTCTGTTTTTTTTTCAGCGCCTGGTCATGACCGCCCAGGTCCAGACACATTAAGGTAAATATACTACTATACACTATATATAGTTGCTACAAAATCGTGGATATTTGATAATTGTTCATTTCGAATTATTTCCTTCTTTGCACGCGGGAATAATATATTAAGGAAGTGGTTTCATGGTTTTAAAATTGTAAAACAGTTCACGATATTATTTGTTAAATGTTTTGGAGAATATGAAGAAATTTTCAAAACAGCACTTCAGTTAAAAATGCCCGCAACATCTTGTTAACAAGTTGATAACAACAAGCGCGTAGCAACTTGTTACAAACAGTAATATACATATAGATATTAGTCTTGTTAATTGGAACAACTTGTAGCAAGTCTGTTACCGTCATCAACCTTGTAAAACGATGATAACAACTCGTTCCAGACTTGTCACAACAACTGACAACAAGCAGTGCATGAGAACACATTCTGATATCGGCTTGACAACAACCTTCATGTTACGACTTTTTGCAAATCTGTAACAAAACTGTGCGTTTTTATGCGGGTATAGCTATACTTCTTTTAAAAAGCTTCCCACTCCAAATTCTTTTGGTAACCCGGAAGAGATAGCTCAGCAGTTATCCGAATGAGAAAATGATGTTCATTTCTTTCTTCCTAAAAGTGTCAACGGTTCTATACTTGCGGAATCCTGCCAATATTATTTGAAAAAATAACTAAGAGACGTTTAGATAAGCGTAAAATGACTTAACTAGTTTCGACTTGGCTGTTTTAATTTGTGAGGAACTGAACTGAAGAAATTGATTAATTGGTGTGTCCTCGAAGACGGTTCGCCAGAGCAAGCCGCAAGCTAGTGCCTTTCACTTCTGAGATCATTATTATTATTATTATTATTATTATTATTATTATTATTATTATTATTATTATTATTATTATTATTATTATTATTATTATTATTATTATTATTATTATTAATTCTCCAAACATTTGGTTTTTCAGATTAATATACATGTAAATTATATCTAAATTATTCTATTGTATATTTACAGTTTAAAATCGTTAAAATTAGATAAGTTCATTAAGATTTTAAAAGAAAAAGTTCAAGCAGATAGTTATAAAAAGTACTTTTAAAGTCTTTACAATTGTCATGTACAGTAATGTTACTAGGTAGAGAGTTCCACAGGGATACTGCTCGGTATTCAAATGTTCGTTGTCCGGCCACCGATCTATAAGCTGGAATGTTTGGTTTTTGTTTATTTCTGGTGTTTCTGATCGTGGCCTTGTTTCGATTCCCACTGCATTTTCATGACACCATGAAAAAAGTAGTAGGTACTCTACCACATAGGTCTGGAAAATATTCTTACAGATTAACCAGGGTGTTAGCTAGCCCATATACTGTCCGTTTGACGGACTCTTCCCAATTGAAGTAGCTAAGGGGCTTTCCCAACTGTGTCTACTGGACGATTTTCATTTTTTCTGATGAGAAAGTGCATTGCGTTTGATTTTATATTATTATATCAAAGAACGTATTATTTACTTTTTCCATTAACTATTTTCTCAAAATGTATCGCGTTTCATTCATATTGGGTGTATTCACTGAAATGAAATGTACAAAACAAAGTGTTATCGGTGTGCATCCGTGTTCATTCACCGGAAATGAAATATACAAAACCAAGCTACCATTGTTTGCATCTAAGGAGAAACACGTTGGAAAAAACACTATTTATTCCTACACAAGGACTTTGATCGGTCAAAAAAACTTTCCCAATTAACGTTTAACGGACAAAACCTTTTTTCCCTGGCTAACACCCTGATTTTTCATATCTTGCTTGATTCTTGAAATATTTTGACCGAATGCAATTTCCCTAGCGAATTTTTTCGCGCGTAGCGACCTTTTTCCTTTGTCGGCATTCATTTTACCACGTCTTGCTGACGTAATAAGTGATACCGACAAAGGAAAAAGGTCGCTTCGCACGAGAAAATTGCTGGAAAGCCGGCTTCAGAAAGTCTTCGTCTTTGTCAGGTTGAACTGCGTCCTTCGCGAGTCAGTTTATAGCTCTTAGCTGCAAGTTAGGATCATTATTAGTACACCCCCACATGCAGTACTAAAATATAACATATTTCAGTGAAAAGAACCATGAGAATTTCTATTCAGTGCTAGCAGCCTAGCTTTTGGTCGTATACACGGCTTCCTTGTAATAATCCCGGAAAATATGCTGATATTTACAGGCCTGGCTCGAGTAATGACAATATTTTCCCACCATCTATCATTCTACCAACGATAGCAGAAACCTCCGGTAAGAAGTCTTTAACTTAGCTAACTTGTGCGACTGGAAGTAAAAAAGGCCATTATAGAGAGTTTACAGTAAAGTAAAATACCCAGGTTCAATAATGTAGTTTATTATATAAAGTGTAGTGCTTTTATAGAGATTTCGAGCACTGATAAAAGTGATAATCTCACATGTGAGATTATTCATGATAATCTCACATGTGAAGATTATCGCTTTTCAATTATCGCTTTTCTGTAAAAATTGTCGCTTTTCGAAGACTGTCCTTTATATAATAAACAGAAAAAATACATGTGTGCTTGGAAATACCATATTTATCCCATGAATTATTCTCTATTTAGTTAGCAAAGATAAAGTGAGAGCGTACCATAGTATCATGAACAAGCTTTCGCAGGGTGTTAGCAACAGTCAAAAATTCCGCGTTAAACGCGGTTTTCCCAATTACCTTGAGGTCGCAATTTCCCAATTTGGGTCAGCCAAAAAATAGCATAAAAATTGAATTAATTTTTTCACATCTGACAATAGGCCAGTCACGTATCTTACCGTCCATCTTGCCGTCAATATGTTGTTAATACGCCATTAAAAACATGTTTATAACTACATTTGCTCAAAATTACTCCCAAAATGCGGGAAATGCCATTTCAGAGACACAAAAAATTGTCGCGAAAAATTTTGATATGTCCGGAAAAATTTTTGGACCCCTAAAATGGTACACTGACCTAAATTTTGTGGCGACGGGGAGGTCGCCTAAAAAAAATTCCCAATTTCATGTAAACGCGGATTTTTTTTACTTCTGTCTAACACCCTGTTTCGTTGCGTGGTATAGGGATGCGACTGACATATATCTGAGAAATGTAAGGAGAATTTCGACGTTTCGAGCGAAGGCCCTTTGTCTGGAGTTACTATACAGGGTGTATAAAAAAAACTGAACAGATTTGAAATTGCTCTCAATTTCGCAAAACACCTATTTGTATCCGGTTTTTTATATATATAGCTTCTTTGGGTACTTATAATGTAGAATAATGAAAAAAATTCTCGAACTCAAATTTTGTGAACCAGGGGGTGTGTCTTTTCCAACAAACTAAAAATGGCTCGCGCACAAAATTTAAAAGTTGTAATCATATTTTGAGTTAATAGATGGAAAATTTGTCGGTTTAGTTTAAGGCCTTTAACTATTCACGCGAAGTTACATTTTTCCTAAAAATCAGCTATTTGCATGCTTAATTAATGCCTTTGCCTAATTTGCATATGTTAGCAATATGCAAATTAGGTAAAGGCATTAATTAAGCATGTGAAAGTCTGATTTTTTAGAATAAAATGAATAGTTAAAGGGCTTAAACTAAACCAAATTGTCTGAAATTTTGTACAGTAATTAAAAACCCAACAAATGTTCCATTTATTAACTCAAAATATGATTACAACTTTTAAATTTTGTGCGCGAGCCATTTTTAGTTTGTTGGAAAAGACACACCCCCTGGTTCACAAAATTTGAGTTTGAGAATTTGTTTTCATTATTCTACATTATAAGTACCCAAGGAAGCTACATATATAAAAAACCGGATACAAATATGTGTTTTGCGAAATTGAGAGCAATTTCAAATCTGTTCAGTTTTTTTTTATACACCCTGTATAGTCGCTAGTAACTCCAGACGAAGGGGCCTTCGCTCGAAACGTCGAAATTCTCCTTACTGTCGATGCAATGGAAGTGTTGATAAAATATTGCACGAATTCGTTTCCTCAAGTTGATCAATTCATACAAATTCAAATTTCTTTTTACTTCCTGTGGCAATCTCGTTCCCCGAGCCTGCGATCGGGAAGGAACGCGAGGCTCTGGGATAATCCGTTTCAGGGAGGAATCTGATTGGCCATTGAAATGGAATGCGTAGTTCAATCTTAGCCAGGATTCTTGGCTTCCGGTAACGGATTATCCCAGAGCCTTCGATTCCTTGCCGAGGATCGCAGGCTCGGGGAACGAGATTGTTCCTGTGGGTTTCCTATTGGTCAATCGGTTCTGAAACGAAATCTAATTGGCTTATCTAAAAGTAACAGGAAGTTGATCAATATTTTCTATCAAATAAATTGATCTACTTGAGGAAAGGAATTGGTGCAATATTTTATCAACACTTCCATTGCATCGACAGTAAAACTTTTTTACTTCCTTTCTTTTACCTTTTAAATGAAACTTTTATATCTAGGGCCATTTTTAAAATTTTGTTTTTTGAATGTTTTACTTAGTCATGCAATCACGTCCTTCTATTAACCGTGATGCAATATACAGCTGTTTCAATTAAGGTTGTCCACGAGCAAAGCGGAAAAATCGAATACGAGCGCGAAAGGCTGCTGGCTGGGAATCGCTAACAAATTAATGCATTTTCAAACCGATTCGCAGCAGCCTTTCGCGCTCGTATTTGACTTTTCCGCTTTGCTCGTGGACAACCTTAATTGAAAATATCCCCGCTCATATTATTGGCACTACACTGGCACAGACAGTACAATACCATATTAACAGTGCACTTTTCTCTACAGATCGAGAGCCCTCTATTTCACCGATTGGAGAAATAGTTGATCACGAAGTCGAATATAAGCAAGAAGCTCTTGACCTCTTGATACAGAGGTAGATGTTTGTGTAAAATATGTTTTTTGAAAGATGACACTATCCGGGACCTTTGTACAACCGGCCCCAGAATAGTAAGTTTGGATTTCCTCCTGTGGTAACACTGGACCTATTAGGGCTGGCATGCATCTACTAGACATCTAGGAGTCCTAGGAATAAAACAGAACTGAAAACTGTTGAAACACTGGCCAAAAGGAATCGCCCCTACTGGCAAAGCTATCCAGTTTAAAAAGTCAGTTGGAACTAGGAAGCAAATTCTGAATAGAATTTCCATTTTGAAACTTACTATTTTTTAAGTAGAGAAAGAGGACACAATATTCAAGTTAATCAAGTTATTTAAAAAGTCAGACTACTCATGTAGTTTACATTACGTTTCCTCCTGTACTAACAATACCGGAGCAAAAAGAAACGATACTCTCTGTATAGGAAGAGCAGCTTAGACAGAAAGCCATTGTGCTATGAAGTTAAAATAGTTCATTTGATTTTGATATTTCTGATTCTAAGAGTCACTATATATCTCTTGTATTAAAGACTTCTGAGAGAGGTTTTGGGCGATAGAGATCAGACGAGTTTTTCTGAAATTTTCCCTCCACGACCAAATGATACGAGAAGAATAAGGGCAGCGAGAGGACTGTATGAGCTACTAGGTAAGATGATAATTTCAGTGTCAGAAGGCAACATCAATCAGTTATCCTTTTTCCATTAGGGGAAATATAACTACAGTAGATAAAATTATAGGAAATAACGTCCAAGTTTGAAGCGAAGCCCCCGTCGTGTGCAATTGAGGACATGGATCGGGAAAACAAACGACTGCTTATGCAAAGGGTTTCGTTCAAACCATCAAAGATTTTCAAAACTTTTTCACTATTACTATATGCAACTGCATCCTTCACTGAATCACCCATGCGCTTCGGTATTGCAAAAGAGCTTTGTTTTCTGCTTACAGAAATACACATGTAACCAATCAAAGTTAACCAATCATATATTTCAGTATTAACTACTATTTAACTACAGAATAGTGGTTAAAAGTAGTTAAAAGTTTTATACAACCGATCCGTGATATTTACCCAATTAGAAACATAAAAATCTGACAACTTGTCGACTAGATGTGTTCACAACAGATTTGTAGCAAGATTGTCAAGAAGTCGTAACAATACTGTTATTAAGTTGCTTCAAGGTTGTCATTCACAACTTGACAACTGACAAGTTATTGAAATGCAGGATGATAACAAGTTGTTGGAACAACTTGTAACAAGTTTGTCGAGTTCATCATCTTTGTAGCAAGTTGTCAACGAGCTGGGAACAAGCAGTGCGAATACATGCACCCATGCACCCTTTCGATAATTACGTCACACATAGTTTTTGGTCTTGGAGCCTCGCTCTCATTAGTAAATTACGCAAGGTGATTGGCTCACGATTCATAAGAGCGAGGCTCCCAGGCCAAATGTCGTAATTATCGAGAGGGTGTATCACACAACCTGTTGACTTGTTGGAACAGCATTGCTATACAAGACTGCTGCAGGTTTGTTACAACTTGTCTGTGTTTGAGTTGCATTATTAGTAGCTACCCCTGCAGTTCCGTCGAAAAATGTCTATAATCTACACTAGAAAATTTCCGTCTACCAAAGAAACCTTTAAATGTAATTTCAGTTTGGCATCAAAGAAACGTTGCAGTTCTCTCTCAACCTGAAGGCGGATTCAGCGAGATCTATATTGAACGGGGAAGTAACTTTTGATCCATGCATCCCTGAAGTCCACTGACTGGCAATTACGAAACCAAACTGATATGGACGAAATTCACACGTTTTAAAGTAGGTACAAAGAATTGAGGTATGTTGCTAACGTTTCTCACAAAAATGATATGTTCTTAATAAAATAGCGTTTTGGTTTTAGCCCTATAGCCTCGAGTTTTTTATGAATAGAACAAATTAGGCGAGACTATATTATAGACGCAATCTTAATTTTATATTTTTGAATATCTTAATATAGAGGTGTTTTATTATTTGTCATATAATTTTACTCTATAGTGTGTCATAGAATGTCCAATAGTACCAGGTTCAGCTATTTATAACTGTATAGTATCTCATAGTGGAGTTATTTATAAAATAGAAATATCATAAAGTTTATATTTATAAGTTGGGTTGATAAAATTGTTAAATATATTGTATATCTGTATTTAATGTACATTTAAATAAACTGTTTGTAGATTTCAGATACATTATTCTGCAATTAATATTTCTTACTTTGCAGTTTTTTCCCCTATTCATCATGTATATACACTTCTCGAATTTGCTTGAGCGACAAACATTTTCTGGGGGTGCTCCCCCCTATACAAAATCCCACTTTTTCAGTTCATAACTTCCTAGTTATACAGTAGGTCCATTTTTCTTGATGGCCCCTTCACTGAAAAATTCTTGGACGAGGCCCTGTGTTAACCTGGTCTTGTTGAAGAGTAAATTAATTAATTTGTGTGTAACCTTAATACCTGTGATGCAGCGGGTTTTATGGCAGAGTGGGCAGATCCCCCATGTCTCATGTACACAAATTCAGGAAATGTCTATATTAATGATGCAAACTATACTCTACAATTCCCTACAACACAACTGGCGCACAGCTGACTATTTTAAATCAAAGTTCAGGATATTGAGTCTCTTGTCCAAGGCCACAAAAAGTTTTGTATGGTTAAACTTGAGCGAGTACACTGAACTCGTTGTATGTCGACTGCCATGATAGTACTAAAGGAGAAAAAGATACATTAGAAAGGTACTGTACATTATTGTATTTGTACATAACAGTTATATTAATCTATGAAGCGAACATAAAGCAAATTATGTCCATGAAGCATGGAAAGAATAGATATCTATAATAATAGACATCTATTATTTATATGCCATGAAGGAGTTTGTATATCTGATATATCTGGAGCTTGTATATCTGATTTACATAAACTTCTAGTTCATTTCTCAAATCAATGAAAAGAAAGCAAAAAAGACGTAAAAAAGCAAAGCAGCGCAAAACAGTTGTCCTATTTCACCAAACCTTATAACACGTCTATTACTCTATTTACCTTGACACATCTATCCATCCGTTTGTCCCACAATCTCACCTACACAATGTAGGATTAGAGGAATCAATGTAAGGTCTTTTAGGACTTTTAGAATATATTGGCTTGTTTAGCGCTAACCCTGGGTTAAAATTTACCGCTTGCTGTTTTTGTATTTATATCTTTGTATCTCAAAACTTTATTTAATAGAAGTTCTATATTGATCCAAACAAGGTTTCGGGGGGAAAAACATTTGTTTGCAGACAAGATGTTGGGAATTTATTTTGAAATTTTTCGTTAATCTAGTAGGATTAGTTAACCAGCCCCTGTTGCCGAAACGTGTCTGGCAATGACATGAAGAGTTTAGTAAAACAAGTAACCACGTACCACACCGTATCTGTAAGTGCCGCTGAGTATCATCCATTTCTTATCTGACTCGACGCAGTACACCGCTGAGTCGTGAGGATCGTCCCATTTCTTCACGCAACAACTGTCGAAGAAAAATTAAGAACTTGAATGAATCACGAATATATGCTATTCGTAGTCTGTACATATGTGACTTGTGAGTGCGACGCGTCCGCCGTTACGGTCAGGGACAGCAATCTCGATGGCTTTCATGCAGGAGGAAAGAGAGGGAGGCCAGGAATAACATGCAGCAGAACAGTTGATATGAATTTGAAGAAGGCAGAATAACGCCAAAGCAATGGCAAGACAGATGTGAATGGAAAATCGTCGTAGCCCAATGTTCGTTCTCAAACGAAAAAGCTCGAAAACTGCCTCTCTGTAGTCATGGTTAGAGCTCGACAACTGTCTCTCTGTAGTTCAGTTGGTTAGAGCGCTGAAATACAGTACGTACAGCACATGTAAAAACACAGAGAAAGCAGCCGTTAGCTTACCTTCCACCAATACGCATGTCCCACAGCCTTACAGCTGTATCATAGCCACAGGACAACAGAATATTTGGAGATTCAAACTTCAAGTCTAACACACCGGCACCACGTCTTCCACTGCTATCACAAATCAACTCACTCAACTGATGACCACTAAAATGATATTTATACAGAGCATACAGTAAGTTACAGTATATTCTGTAAAACACAACCTCAATAAAACGAACACTTTTCTAATACAGACACTTTGCTGTTTCCCTTTGATGTCCGTATTAGAGATGTCCCTCAGTCTGTACAGTATATTTCATAAATCCCAAAGTATGAAAGCATTCTTTCTCTTAAAAATTACATCTGCGTTCAAAGTTCTTGGAGAATTAGATGACGCAACGTAAAACGTATAGTGATGGTGACCATATAAACTCTGTCGCAACGATTGCAAATGACCACACCATAATCACAGAATGACCGCAGGGCTACAATTAACATAGCCACATTAATTGTGATTTGGGTTAATTAACCCAATCCTATTACAGGCTGTCGGAAATAGGATTATAGCCAGGTGACAATCTCTTACGTTTCACAATCGTAATGTTTCAAAGCTGAACTTCTTGGCAAGTATCCTGCACTTCCTGCAACGAACTTCCTAAGGAAACACAAAAATTAACATAACAATTTCAACCTAAAAATTTATCGTGAATTGGGCATCGTTTTCTTAAAATGTGATGAAGAGAATCATACCCGTCAAATGAACTTGCTGCCAAGGACCTTACTGGATCACCAACGTTTGTGGTCGTTAGACATTTTCCCAAATTTAATGACCAAATCTACACAATGATAATTTTAATTAGCTAAGCTGTTTGCCAATTTTTATTTATTTTATAGTGTTTTGTAATGAAATCTTAACATTCTTTTATCAATTTATGTGATCAAACTTTAATCACTTTATTTCTTCCATTGAAAAGAAAATAACTTTAACTTGTTGAAAGTCAAAAAGTGCTTTAATAATCCTTTACCTTAATAGATCGATCCCTTGATCCAGACAGGACAACTTCACCAAGTGTTTCAACACAATACACTGACTTTGTATGCCCCACAAATGTATTTATTTTACAATATGATTTATCCTTGATGTTCCATGCCGAGACTTGATTTTTTGAACCACTGACAAGCAAGTCATCTTTCACAACAAACCTTGTAACATCGTGCTCACCACAAGTGATGGATGCAACAGGTTTTGCCAATCTTTTTTGTCCCCGGGTATGATTATATATTTGGATGCAGTTCTCGTTTGATAAATATAAACTATTTGAATTGAGCTCTAGCCATGGAAGAAGCCTAGGTGCAATATAGATGGATTAAAATGATACAAAACTGATAGGGTCATTTTGTCTAGTAGACCGTTAATTTCAAGATAACCAAAAATCTCTTCAGATCAGTGGTGTAACTTCTTCGGGCTGTGCCCAGCAAAAGCCAGGGAATCTAGGTCAGTTGGGAACCCTGAGCAAGGATGTTAGAAAGTGTCTATAAGTTGCAGTTGATACTAGCCATGTGCCAGCCCTCCCTCTCAGTTTAAGCTGTGGGCCCCTTAGACCAAAGAAAGGCCAGTAATACATTACTTGGCTAGAGTAAAAAGTAACATTTTTAATCATTATTGTTAATTAATCAGTAAAGTGATTCAGCTTACTTGTTATGAAATTTGACCATAGTCATCTCACAGTATTTCCCATGCACCCATTTAAATGATATCTCACAGCAATCTTTAAAGCTGTACTTGCTGAACAGAAATGTTTGTATTGTTTAGTTGTTGCAGACTTTATTTAGAATTCATTACATTATTGACACAATTGGTAAGAATTATGTTATAGAAACAGGTGATTCATATATGGACAGACTTGGGCAAAGAAAAGATGTTTCATCTGTTTTTATATATGACATTACACAGGCTATCAGGAAAATATAGGTCAGGATTTTTTCCTACAATCATTGACAGCATAGTTCAAGTAAACACTTCATCTCATGTTTATGTATATGGTCTGTCAGATGGATGACGTATCTTGAAAGAAGATTTGTCTCTAGCATAAACTGATGATATATCGAACGCTGTGGTTATTTTTCCGACACCAGAACTTTAACTTATATAATGGCTATAGATCTGACAAATGTGTTTTCCTCGTTCTTTAAAATGCTATATTGATACCAAATAGATTTCAGGTGGTTTCAAGGAATTCCTCGGTAGTCAATGTGGTTAAGGCGCTTGCGTTGTATGCGCGATTGTCCGTATCAAAACTGGGAGTGAAATTCCAAGTGTATCTGTAAGGGTTCTTCTACCCGGCCAGAACAAAAGATAAGAACCGGTTAGAGTAGGGGTTAGATTGCAGGACAGGTTCATACAGAATTTATTGTCCAGGATCAACAGACAAATATCATGCTTGTGATGTTACCCTGAGTGCATATCACACTGGGCAAGCTTGAGAAATATGCCTGGCCACGGTGGGAATCGAACCTACTACCTTTGGAATAATAGCCCAATGCTCTGCCAACTGAGCTATGCAGTCAGGTCGGTTCGAGTATGTGATATTTTGGAATCGAGTCTAGTTCCTTCGATATCAATGTAATCTAGTAATCATGATTTTTTCTGTGTTGGTGTAATGTACTCAGGTGAATATGATGCTTGTGATGTTACTCTGAGTGTATATCCACACCGGGTAAGCTTGAAAAATATGCCTGGCCATGGTGGGAATCGAACCTACAACCTTTGGAATACTAGCCCAATGCTCTGCCAACTGAGCTACGCAGTCGGGTCGGTTCAGATAAATATCAATTACAGTCGATTTTATAACACTTTGACCACAAATTTTTTTTGTTGCAACGTCCGCAAGTTCATATCGGAATTCACAAGCCAATTTGTAAACAAAGGCCTATTTACATGTTACGACTAGTCTTGTATGATTGTCATTCTGGCATATGAAAATTACTGCTGACACCACTATTACGTGTTCATCAGTTTATGGTGAAATTTGAAATCTTTACACACATTCACTCGATTACATACACCATGATAAGAATCGCATACGACTAGTTGTATCCTGTAGGTGGGTCTCAAAATGTTATATAATATTTGTGAAGATTTTTAATTATTTACATATGTTATGACGTCACACAAATATAAAATGAGTGAACGCTTGCCTCTTATGTTTCGATCGCATATTGAGACATCTCTCTGAAATTCGTCTCCATAAAACATCCTGACTGGACAGTCTATTGAAAGTTTTGCAAACCTGTGCGATAATGAGCAATGTTTTATAATCACATTGTGCAAATATAGCCAGCAAAGCATCTTCCGGCAAGTCGATAATCGACAAATTTTCCATGGCATTTGTTGCACGTTCATATTAAGGATCTGGTAGATTGATTTCATCAGTGAGACAGCTTTGAAACGCTTCCATAGCGAGAAAGAAACAGTACAGTTTCTTTTTGCGCTAAAACCAAACAGGATCGTCGACAAATCGACTTTATAGTTCTTTTATAGGAGCAAAACCAGCAAAACCACAGAATTTGAGTTCCTATAAGCATTTGTTGCTTCCACTTTTGTAAATATATTTTTACAATTTTACTTCAAACGTGAAAAAGGGACAACTTCCACAAAAAAACCCCTGAGGAAGTCAGGTTCACTGAAAGATTACAAAAATTTGCAAATTTATAAAATCCGCCCTGGTTTTAATCAAAATCTGTAGTTGTGTCAGCTGAAATTCAAATGTATAAAAGATCCGAAATCCGCAGAAAATTACAATTGAAGATCCCTAATCCAAAATCCGCCAATCTGCAATTAGGCCTCTTGACCCAACCCCTCCCACCAACCCCGGACACTCGAACAGTAACACAGGATTTGAAACAATGGTATTTTACCACTCTGTGCAATAATTATATGATTGATATCATGATCATTAATTCTTCGAAGATTCCATTTGTTGTAACATTTGTAAATTAGAAGTCTTTGGAATTAGAATTCTTTACAAAAATAGACTAATAGTTCTAATTAGGTATTTATATGCAGTAAAAACATTCGAGAACAATCGAGAACATACATCACAATTTTGACTCTTTGAATTGATTTACGGTACGGGAATTATTCGATTGCGGTATAAATGAAAAATAACAAAAGTCAATGACAGTCACTGGAAATCATGAATTTTACAGCGATTTGGTTTTATTCAGAAGGCATGTTTTATTTGAGGAAAATAGTTGGGGAATTTTTTGAATTTTTTGTGGAAGTCCTTAAAAATTTCACACATATTTTAGAATGATCGATCAAATTTCATAAATATTTTCCAAATATTTTTGTACTAAAGCCGATTTACACAAGATTTATTTCGGGACTGTTTTGGTATAAACAATAAACTGTTTGTGTTGTCTGTATTTAATAGCAGCAGTTTGCCGGGCAGTATAAACTCTTTGAAGTAGCTTGAGTTTTGGCAATACTGTACTGAAATCTCGAGTGAACTCAAGAAGCATCGTTTATTAGTATGCAGAAATGTTTTTGAATTCTGCATTTTAAAGTGTAAATATTCAATCTGTCAACGGCTTTCACGCGCCGGGAAATTGAGAAGCCAGAAAAAAGTGAAAACTCGAAAAATTTGTTGGTCTTTAAAAATAATACAAGAAACTTCCTGAGAAACAAAAGGCAAGCGGTACGTGTGAAAATCATTTCTATAAAATCTCTTGACCTCTGACAAAGACGATATTGGCTTTTGTAGGTAAAATGGCAGCTGAATATATCGTGTTTGTATTAAACTGAGCAGGAAAATTAAATAACTACCAATTGGCCACTTGCTTTAGGCTGTTAACTTGGCAAAGTATCAGTAATTACTTGGTCTGTTTTCATCCCAACGAGACGAAATCGAAGCGTAACGTCTAGTATTTTACCGAGTTAAAATACCGGTTTGTAGTGTAGTGGCGTGTCGTAATTCGTGGATCGATTAACCAATATCCACACACTTTAGAAAAGATTACTCGTATTGCGTATTGGTATTGTAATGGATGCTGGGCTGTTTTAGTAACATGGAGATAGAAAATGAATGCCAAATATGAGACTAAAGTATTTCGTATTCATACCAAGGGCGATAATCGATTTGGTTTCACTTTAGTTAGCCAGTATCCTTGTCAACTCGTGAAAATTCAACATGGCAGCCCAGCTGAGAAAGCGGGTATAAGATCGGGAGACGAAGTAATCGAAGTGAATGGAGTTAACGTCGAAGATCTAAAACACAATTGTGTAGCGACCTTTATAACACCAACCAGAGATGGAGTGACAGAATTACGGATACGTCGATTCTCAGGCCCCAAAACATTGAAATCTGGTCATAGTGTACACAAATCTGTGTCAGAAGTATACACTGGGAATCGCGATGATTTATCCCAAGTTGTTGGCCGTGTTGTGAAAGGATTGAAAAAACCGGACGTGAACACACCGTCACAAAAAGGTCCCGACCTGTCTGTATTAAATAGCAATGATATAGCTAGTGATGAGCAGTTAAAAGCGAACTTTTCGCCAGTCAGAGCTACCATAAATACTTCTCTGACCGCCGATATTTCAACACCTATAACACTTAATTTAAAATTGACTTCAAGAAACAATGGTGTGCGCGAAACACCGCAAACGGTCGAAGTTGTAGTCGGGTATCTAGGTTCTATCAAACGACCTATGACAACTAAAACTTCGCTAGGATCTGTTACGCACTTACGCGTGAGACAAAACTCATCAGTATGGGTCTTACTAGAGATCGGTTCTGCGGGAATCTATCTTAGGAATTCGAACAAACAAATCATTATGATGAGCCCTTTAAATTCCTTAGTATACTTTGGCGTTTGTCGCGAAAATAAACAAATATTAGCCTTTTTTACAGCGGATTTATGTGCGAACGATTCCGACGACGTGATTAATAACCATGTACCAATTACATCTGATTGCAACTTAAATTGTTCTTGTCATGTATTCGTGATCGAGCCCTGTTTTGTCCGTCATGAAAACCACAAAACATTGATGGATAATTTTCAGCTGCTGTGCGACCCCACGACCGGAAGCTGTCAGCGATACTTCCCAACGTCAAGCAACACAATCTTCAATGCGCTCCAAAGTATTTTACATCGAACTTTGACGCATATTGCGTCCACGGAGAATGATTTTGACTATTCAAATGTAAACTCCAATGGGACCGAAGTTGAAATCTTGCGGGAATTAGGGGTTATTACCCCTCAGGAATTAATTAGAAGTGATCATTTGTGTTCTTTATTGAATGGCCATAAGTCACAGCGTGATGAGAATGAAGCGAGCAAAGTTCTGTGTCTCTATTTACAACCTTTGTATGGTAGTGTTAGTATGAAAGATAAAGAAACAGATTATCCTAGCAAAGGAGATTACAACATCGAGATTTGTGGTAAAGAGCAGTGTGCTACTGCCCAGCAATCTGGTCCTGCAACAACACATAACAGAGATATTGCAACATCTAACGAAGAGGATTCCTATATGGCTGATAAAGATTTTCCTCAACCACATGATCAAGGGAAGGTTGCAAGAACTGGTCATAAGACGCTTGTTCATCAGCGGTCGCATTCCCTCGCAAGTAACGTGAAGAACGCACTACAAGCGCAGGCGGCAGCTGCTGCAGTTGTTGCCGCAGCACAAACAGTCGAGGTAAGGTATCATTACTTATTAATGTAATATTCTTCCATATACAGCACATTATGACTGTCTATCACAATTATGGAACAAAGTCAAAATATTCACTATTACCATCCACCATTCCGTATTCTCTCAATCATACCACAATACATAGGGTAATACCTGAATTAATTATCCTGCAAGTAACAGGATTTTACTATACTATCCCAAATGATTTGCACAGATTTTTGAAAATCTTTATTCCAGGATTCCAGCTCAATGTGGAGGTGAGCCTATTAAGCTGCAATGTGTCTAAATGTACCCTACTGTACTTTATCATTTTACTCCGTCTAATGCCAGACAATTTTACTTGTCAAGGGGAGAGTACGTCTGCGGCACACTAATGGGTTAAAATTGTTTGAAATGAATGTCTGTGAAAATACCAAATTTCCTGTCCTTAAGGAATTTCCATATTATCTTAGAAAATTTGTGCTGAAATTTAATTTAGAAATTGCAAATATTACTATGTATGGAGTTTTCATTGGCTGTCAATTAATTAGCACAAACTATACCTCTCAACATATATAACCATGACTGATTACCCCACATGTTTTTGGGCAATTCCATTTGGAACATGCTTGGTAACCTTGGTTACAGAGTTATTCTGTTTGTTCTTAAAAAAATCGCCATAAAGTAGGAACTATTTTTACACTAGGTTCAACATACTGGATTGAACCTAGTCATCCAATGAAAGTTATCAGATTCTTACAACTTCTAAATTTACATATTGTATGCATGTTTTGATGCGTTGTTCCCAGGGTCTATTGAAATGAATATAGCTGGAACCTTCCTTGAATGCTACCTTCCTTGAAGCTAAGTCTGGGGGTCAAACCAGCATGTTTACAGTGTATCATAATTGCCTGATTGAGCGCTCTTCGCATGCATGGAAAGACTGGGACTGACCTTCAAGATTTGCTTCAAATTTCCGGTTGGAGGTAGCGTTCCAGTTATATTCATTTGAATGGATCAGCAGGATAAAATGTTTTGAAATTAAAGTAATTAGTAATGCATAATGGGGTAATTATTTCATTAAGTCATGTAATACACAGGGAATGTTTGCATTCTTTTAGTATTTGCGACGTTTTCCATTCAGTGCAATACTCTAATTTCCACATTTTCCATTGTTTTGATGCAATTTAGGTTTTTAACTGGTTGCAATCATTCACAGATAATTTAATTTTTAAATATGTTTTTCTTCCTGTAAAACTTTCCTTTTGTGACCTAGACCTTTTCCATATAAAACAAAATAGAATGACTGAAAAATGTAACAATTAAATATTTAAGCATTCTCATGACAGTAATTGAATTTCATCTGTCTTCCCCATTCTGTTGAATAAATCATTGCTTCCTGATAATTTTTTAATGACACTTGAAAATGTTGCACTTAGAGAAAATTGCATGTTTCCTTAAATTTATTGGGTAACTCAAAGGCATCAAAACTCAAGTGCATTTAAAAACCTTTTGACTTGTTAATACTGACAGACACAATGAAATTTTTCATACTGAAATACAAATTCATCAGACACAAATTATATACGTTATTAATAAAGTAAAAAAATCCAAAATTTGCCACGTACAAATGAATGATTGCTGATAATTTTGGGAAAAAACTGAAAACTATTTATATTGGCCTAATTACATCAATTTAAATTAAAATTTTAATTATTAACAGCAGCTTTAATTACTTGTACTGGAGAAGAAGAGAAGCATATTATAAAGCACGTTTAAGCCCGTTTTCCACTAGGCGAATTTGTTCTCGCGAAGCGACTTTTCCCTTTGACGGTTAGTTGTCATCGCTTTTGCTGACGTGATCGGCAAAATGTGGGTTAATTTTTAGTTACTGAACAAAATAAGCAGCTTA